ACTGACCTAGGAAGCTGATGAGCTGGGCAGCTCCAGTAAAATACTTCCCTTCATTTGCAATCCATCCCCTACGCTGAATTACCTGGACGTTGAGGGGAACAAAGGAGACCAGGCTGTAGTCCTCAATCACCTCCACCAACTTCTCATTGAGGCGACGATAGTTCTTGAAGAAGGGATCAGAAGCTAAATGGTCTACGAGGTAAGAGAGGTCCAGCACCTCAGTGTAGTAATCCAGGTTGAAGGCTGCAAGGAGAAATCAGAACCCCTGAGCCCACTCAACTACAAAAGCCACTGTATTTCACAAGAACCCAAGGAATTGTTATAACTTTTCCCTGTACATCATTCCCATCTACCCCAATAGAGAAGTGAGCACATCTCTACCATGGATCAGCCCCAGAGAACTTCCCTTCTCTCTCCCCCCGCCATCCCCCTCTCAAGTGCTCTTACCAAGTTTGCCATACTGCTCTATCAGGTCCATCTTTGAAAGGATGTTAACATGAGGTAATTCCACATGCAACATGGTGGAAAGAGAGGTGCAAAGAACAGAGATGAACTTGCCAGGATCCGTGCAGTAATGAGAATCCACCAAATGAACTGCAGCCAGCTGCAAGCAGAAACAAAGGAGAAACAGTGCAAGATCAGAAGCCTGTCAGAATTTGGGATGCTTGAGAAGGGGCACTGGGATACAAAAGAAAGGAAAATTAATCCAGACTCTGGGGTTATAATCAGATACCAACACAACCAAAGTTATCAGTTAACTCTTTCCTAGATAAGAGGATGTACAAGTATGTAAAACTATGACTACCAAACTGAGGCTGCTGTATAGGTTACTGGCCTGTGTAATGGACTATGAGATGCATTACAGAAATACCAGGTTTTCACCAGGATTACTGTAAGAGACCGTTAAACTGGCAAGCGCTTTTGCACTCCAGACCCCGCTTTTCACTTGCTCTGAACTTCTTTCTTCCATGCAATTGCCGATGTCTGTTCTCTGCCCTACCACAGAGGTTTTGACAACTGATCTGAGTTAACTCTACTTCTGATGTATGGGACCTAGGTAAAGTGCTCCACCTTCCCCACAGAACTATTAGCTCATGCACAAATAACACAGTAACAAAACAATTTTTAAACCAACCTCCTCTAGAAGCTTTTTTAATCAGCCTCTTCATTTTTTTTAAATCAACCACCTAATGTAGTTTGAAAAACACTTACTAAATCTAGTCACAGACAACCTGATTCATCATGCTAACAATTCTGTTTCAGATTTTATGTCATCAGACATCACTGTTCTAATGTGCAGCTCCCTATTATGAAGCTCAATAGTGTCACAGTTGTTTTCTTCTCCTTAATCTATGAGGTAGCGAACCTTAACACTTCAGAAATGCAACTCAGAAAGTCACAAGAACTCAGCTATGCAAGTCCATAGCGCTAAAGCTATGGTTTTTCACCTCTTTGCCCAAAAGAGATTTCCTGCATGGATTTCCTGGGTCTATGGCAGGGTTGGGTTAGGCGGGGGGCCGGACTCGATGATCTTCCAAGGTCCCTTCCAGCTCTAATGTCTATGAAATCTATGAAAAGGAAAGTACATACAAAGCACCAGACAAAAGCAAAGTGGAATGTGTTTATTCGAGCACACGCAAAAATGTAAGTGTCTAGTTTCTCCGTAACAAGCTCAATGTTGCCTCCTTGCTTGCACCATGTGGTTGTACATTAGCAGTCTAGCCAGTAATCCCAACTACCAGACACGTGCAAAGCCAGCTAGTTTCGGAGGCGTCAGTTACAGCCACATTGATCTAAGGACACAGGTAGATTTAACAGATGTTAGGGCTGGAAGGGACCTCAGAAGATCATTGAATCCAGTCCCCTGCCCGAGGAGCAGGAAGTCAGCTGGGGTCATAGGATCCCAGCAAGATAAACATCTAATTTGGTCTTGACGGTGTTCAATGTAGGTGCTTGAACCACCTCTGATGGCAGGCTGTTCCAGACCTTGAGGGCTCGGACAGTAAAGAAATTCTTCCTTATGTCCAGCCTGAAATGGTCTTGCAGTAGTTTATGACCGTTCGACCTTGTCATCCCTTGGGGCACTCTGGTGAACAAACATTCCCCCAAATACTGGCGGTCACCCCAATAAATTTGTCGGTGGCCATCAGATCACCCCTGAGCCTGTGCTTTTCCAAGCTAAAGAGCCCCATAGCTCTCAGCCTCTCAGCATAAGGTCTGTTTTCCTGACCTCTGATCATGTGTGTGGCTCTTCTCTGGACTCTCAAGCTTAGACAAGGGTCTTTGGGTAAATGCGATATCACATTTACCCAATTTATCAGATGCAAGACCAGCAACTTTGCTTTGTTATGGGAACCTTCGCACCTGCATTTCCCTGTGCATGCGCAACTTGTACTGAATAAAGACAAACATGCAATTTCCACCCCACGTGTGTCACCTGAACAAGATCCTGGTTCCAAATCTCAGAAAAAAACGGTTTAATTTTTAGCTGGAGGCTCCACACTTGTCTGGCATAAAAACCCTCCTGCCTCCCACAAGCCACGATGGTCACCAGGGTAAACTGTGCATGCGCCTGGGAGTAAAGCAAATGGCTAGGAGAAGAGAACCGAGGGGGGTATTTCTTTACACCACCGTCGACTTCTTTGTAGCCTCGAGCAAGTCGTCGTTGACGCAGGTACAAAACCCTTTGCAAAGGGACATGACTGCGTTGCAGAAGGTGAGACATGAACGGCGCCCGTCAAGGGAAAGTCCCTGGGGCACCACTCGCCATGCAGGGGGCTGCCCCAGCCCCGCCACACATACCCTGAAGCCCCAGGCAGCCAGCCGGCCAAAGATGTTCCTCAGTGCGGCGTGGTGGGTGTACAGCTCCACCTGCCCAGGGCAGTCGAAGAGGACGTAGCAGCCCCGGAGCGGGGCCAGCTTGTCCCGCAGCCAGTCCGCGTTAGCCTCCAGGTACTCCATGCAGTAGAGGAGCCCACCGTTGGGGCCCAGCTTCAGGTGCTCCATCACGTCGCGCAGCGTCACCAGCTCCCCGATGTCGGCGGCGCAGGGGTAGGGCAGCACGTCATTGGCCGGGTCCAGGTTCACCACGGCTACCGCGCGGCCCAGGGCGGCCAGCAGCTCCCGCATGGCCCTGCAGTACGTGGTCTTGCCCGAGCCCGGCGGCCCGATGACGGCCTGCCCGAAGGCCAAGCTGGGCTGCGCCATCTCAGCGCATCCCCTGCGCCCGGGGCCGGCGAGGGGCTGAAGGGCGCTGAGACCCCGCCAACTCGTCTCACTCAGCCCCGAGTGCAACCCCCTCACCCGCTCCCGGCGCCGCTTCCGGTGGGTGTTCTCGCCGGGCGGGCGAAAGGAAGCCGGCAGGAAGGTTCCGGCCACAGTTCCGGTAGGTGTGCGCGTCTGGGAGGTCCGGGCAAACAAGAGGAAGTAGGCAGGAAGGTTCCGTCCACACTTCCGGTGCGTGTACCTGTCCCTAGCGGGTCCAAGCAAATAAGGGTTCCGGCCACACTTCCTGGCGAGTCCGGGCGGGTGAGAGGAAGCGGGCAGGAAGGTTCCGCCCCGCCCCGCCCCGGTGCTGGTGAAGGGAAGGCCTAGCCGTAAGCCGCCGAGGCGCGGGCGGGCTTTGGCGCCCCCTGGCGGCCGGAGCGCGGGAACAGGGCGAAGACAAGCACCAGGCGGGGTGTCCTGGCCTGGCCCAACCCCGCCCTAGACCCAGGGACTGAACTGGCACAAGCTTCATCTCTGTGCTCGCATTCACATCCGCTTCCACCCCAGCCCCTCTGGCCGCAGTGCACACATCCAGGAAAAAAGCCACCATCCTGTGGCTCTGGCTCCTGTTGAGTGCTGCAAGTACCTGCCTGACCCCTGATCCAGCCATGGCAGGGTCTCACCGGCTCCCATACAGCACCAAGCTGAAAGAGGCCCTGGGCAGAGAATACACTGCAACTTGGGGTCACGGGCAGGCAGGTATTTGAAGCCAGAGAGAGGAAGGTGGCAGCAACTAGTTTTTGATAAACCTGTTTATTTAGAGCACAGCAATACCCGGGGCCAGGGAGTGGAGACCAACTCCTCCCATCACACAAGTTAAGTGGGAGAATGGCCCCTAGAGCACTGGACTCTGAATCAGAACTTTGTAGACCTTAAATGCTGAAGGCTGCAAGTGAGAGAGGAACAGGAGGAATAATCCTAGTCAGACCCAGGTCACTCTCCCAGCCTCTGCTCTGCATGACACAGAAAACTGGGCAAGGTAGACAGATGGCCCAACCCAGTAAATGGCAATTCTTATTCTCTAAAGTGCTGTTTGACTCTAGAAAGGGCACTGGAATAAGGGAAAATTAAATAAATAAGCATAGCCCCACTCACAGCAGCTGGGACTAGTGAAAAGGAGATAGCAACTCAACAGGCACAGCCTTCATAGGTAGATGCTGCTGGTGATTAGTTCTTAACCCTAGAGACCAGAGCCACAAGCAGCAGATTAGCAGGCTCTTGGTGATAGAGAAGCTGCAGCACTAGGCACAGGGCAGAGCCTTGTCCATACCTGCACAGCTGTGTAAAGTGAGTCTCAGCAGGGACAGGTGCTGTCCAGGTAGGGAGCAAAGCTACTTCTCACTGGGAAAGGAGTCTCACTCCTCTCAGAGCAGAAATAGCAAAGATTAAAAAAAAAAAGATGTTTGCTCCAGTGAAGGTTATGTAGAGCACACTATATTGCAACAGTCCTCCAGGATCTTACTGTGCTTAGGTGACTTTATCTGTGCTAGTTCCTTTCTGGGATATCAGAAGAAAAATAATCAGCTTGTGACTAAAGACTTGGCAGTAGACAAAGGACCTGAACCCATCTCACTACAGGAACCTTAACAAGACCATTGGCTGCTCCACACAGCAGTCCTGAATGCTGATGCAAAAGGCACAAGTCAGAAACAACCCTGGGCTGAATAGAAAGGGTCAGAGAGCTCAGCTGGGTGACAGGAATACCTGTCCATGTGGAACCAGGGGACTTTTCACACACACACACAGACACACACTTCTGTTAAAAGTCTAGTAGTTTTCTTTGGTTCAGACCAGGCAGAAGCTGGTGTCGAGGTACAAAAGGTTGTTATTGCTACAGAGATGGAGTCTCAAAGTCTCTATTCTGTGGTTGCTCTCAGGAGGCACCAGGGCTCTTCTGAGCACTGTGCATCTCTCGGACAAACACCATATCCTGTCTGTACTTCATGGCAGTGGGTGGCTGGCATCTGAATAGCTCGCCCCAGGTGTCCTGGGGCTGTGGCTCATCATACACCGTTGAGATGAGGATGTGGCCGTCTGGCCGAGGTTTCTTTGCCTTACTGAAAGTCTGCAGTTTCTCCCCATGGTACCTGTACAGAAGCAGACAGATAATTCCACTGAAGTTAACGTTCCTTAAGACCAGAGCTGGGCCTGGGAACGTGCATTCTTGTCCAAATCCTGGCTGCCGTGGACTGGCAAGTGATTCCACCTCCCCTACCCTGGACTGAGCCAACACCTTTAAACAGCCTGCAAAGTGGGCATGTTTGCAAAGCATTCATGCATCGGAGGGACAGAGAAGCTTCAGGCCGAGCCTGAGCTGACCCTCTAGGTCCGCGCACAGCCGGCAGGTTGTCTTCCTTCTTGGTGACCAGGGCAGAGGTCATAGATTTAGAGCAGAGGCTGGCAACCTATGGCCTGTGGGCTGCAGCCAGCCCACTAAGCAGTATCATTAAAGACTGTGGATGTCAGCAGTAATACTGCATTTGGGGGGGGGGGGGGGGG